GTGTGAGCAGGTCGTGGTAAGGAAGGGGGGGTAGGCAGACAGTGGTAAGGAACAGGGTGGGGGGAGCAGGTGGCAGTAAAGAACCAATTGTGGGCAGGTGGCAGTAAGGATTGGGGTGGTGGGGGTGTGAGCAGGTGGCGGTAAGGAATGGGGGGTAGGCAGGCAGTGGTAAGGTTCCGTTCAGTCAACACAGTGATGCAGCAGATCAGCTCTGGGGGCAGAGGAGGCAGCGAGACAGAGCCCGTGAGGTCTGGACGCTGATGCCTGAGAGACTGTGAGGACACACGCGAAAAGGGAGGCCGGGAGAGCCTCTTGCCAGATTCCTCCTCTCCGTTCCCATCTCTGACAGCCAGTCCCAGCCCTCCCAGGTCCCACCCGCTCTCTAACACCTTCTCCATACGTGGCCTCATTAGTGCACCCTAAGACCGGCCCTGGGCCGCTCACTGCCTGGTGGCACTACCGACAGGTCAAAGGCTTCTGACGGCACCGCTGCCACCAGCACGTCTCAGCACATCACGTCATATGGCTCACAGAGTCTGCCTGCATTTATCATCCCATCTCACCCTCGTAATGACCTGGGAGGCATCGAACCCACCGCCACATCCACCCCGTTCATTCTTCACACCTGTCTGCTGCGATGTCGTTGCTTTGGCTTTTCCTTGGTCCACCTTATTCTCAACTCTACATGTTCTGATCCTTCCCCTATTTCAAGGCCCAGGCTCGATTTCGGCTGCTCTAGAAAACAGCGAATCCTTACAAACAACCTGAGTGATCTCGCCTCCCCGAAACTCCATCGATGACGAGAGCAGAAGCCGATATCTCTCTGGCCCATGCTGTGAGCACGTCGCATGCTCCGTGATGTAAGTGCCTTCCATGTGCTAACGACTGCCCTCTCGATCATGCTCTGCCTCGCACGGGCATCTCGTGCAGCTTCCAACGTCCTCGAGGACACAGTCCACGTCTGAGTCCTCTCTCCTTTCTCCCAAGCCTAGCACAGGGCCTGGCACTGAGCAAGTGTTCCGTAAATATTTGTTCAGTGACTGAATGAGCGAGCAGGCAGGCAGGCAGAGCTTCGCTTGAGCAGATGGTTTCCAAGCACCCGTAAGCACTTGAGAAGCACTCATTTGTAGTGGGCTAAATGACAAGCCATCTTCATCATTTTACAACACAGGTTCCGTGACTTTGGCGAGGACGTGTTTTGTCAGCGTGGCTTATAAATGTGAAAATGCAAAACACAAATGCAAACTTCTTGTGTAAAAATACTCTAGCATGCAGACTAGTCTCTTCCCAGCAGTCCGAATTAGCAAGGTTGGTACCATTCCCCTCTCCCTTGAGCGTAGCTGCAGTAGGGCTCATACCCTCTGCTGCAGGCCCACAGCCCCTGGCCCTCTGACGGCAGTGCATGGTGGGCACGTGTCCAGCAGACGCTCTGCTGAAGCAAAAGCCTCGTGCTCGCTGCGATCCACGTCGCTGCTGATCGGGTCCCACTAGTGCTGCTGAGGAGCCGGTCCCCAGGGGGTTCAGGGAGCCTCAGCGGGTTATTGGCGGTTGAGCTGCTGCCTTGAGATTTGAACACTCTCCTTGCTCCTTACTCATCCTTCCAGAAACAGAAACAGGAAACTGGCAACAGTAAAGGCCAAACACACAGGCATTTCTCAAAGTCCCACTACAGACTGCTGCATCCTGTCTCACGGATAAAGTACAGTTTGTTAACAACTCCCTGTTAAAATTCTGGGGTAATCCTGACATAAAATCGATCATTTCACCAGAGGATCATGATTTCAGTTTTACTTAAAGAAAGGATAGCTCATTTTCAACACCAAGCCAGCCACCGATTGGCTAGTGCTTCTCTCCCCCGCGCTGAAGCAGTGACTGACAGCACAAATTCTGACACCCCGACCACCAACCACTGACCACCACCCGACCACCACTGTCTTTCAGAAAACCTAGGTAAAAATGAGAAGATTAAGGGCACAATAGGGTAGTCGGGAGGGCAGATCTGCTGTAATTGCCAACACAAAGGCCGGGCCACCAGCAGGCTGCGGACTGTTTACTCAGAGCCGGGCTATCAATTAGTCCGCCCAATTATCTCAGGGTCTGCCAGCCAGCAGGCGGCTCTGAAGGCTCTGGCTCCGCTTTGTCGCTCATTCCTGCTCGGCACAGAAGGGCTTTGAGGACAAGCCTCGCTCGCCTCTCTGGCTCTGGCTGGCTTTCGGTGGCCAAAAGAGGCATTAAGAGAATTATTCCAATAAAGCAAAAGCCACACCACCCTTCTCCGCAGACAGAGCTGTGGCCTGGTGCGCCAGCTCCACGGAGAGCGTCCCTGCAGTTTCTAGTTCAGAAACACAATTTCCATGAAGAAGCTGGAAGCATATAAAATGACCGTCAACAGCAGAGGTGAAGCAAATCTGAAGAGGCAGGGAAGAAAAAAACGAAAAAAACCCCAAACCCCTTGTACTCCTGCGCCCAGCGGTGGCCAGGAAGGGCAGGCAGACTGAAGGAGGAGAGGAAAAGCAACGGCTGGCGGTCACTTCTCTCACCTTTTCCAGAAAGCGGCTTACGTTGGTATGGCTAAGAATATCCTAGATAAATTAAGCGAGGCAACCACCTGGACCTCTTGTCCTACAATAATGTGCTTTTTTAAAAAGCAAATTCTAATAGAAATTCACTGAACTGAGGTTGAAAAAGGAAATTTTATTAGAAAAAATAAAACTGACTTAAGATTTCTTAAAAACCACCAACAGTAAATGACTGATTTATTTAGGACCCAGGTGTAGAGATATTTTCTGTACACAGGAAGGGTCTTCAAAACTTCATGAAAAGGCCGATCGTGAAAAAAACTAGGGGCTCGCAGGTGGTGCGGTGGTGAAAGTGCCGGGTCCCCAAACGGCCGGCCATGATTTGGGTCCTGGTCCCACTGGCTTGAAAACCATGCCTGGGGCGTGTGTGTGCGCGCACGCATGTGTCTGTCTGCCTCTCTTTCTCTCTCCCCCCAAGAATAAAGAAGAAGAGACTGATGTGGCCATTCCCCCGGGGCTGATCTCTCACTTCCCTTTCTCTCCCTCTCCAGTGAGCACATGCTTCTTACAGTAAAAACAAAACAAAACAAAACAACTATACGTGGATTTCATTTTGGCACCTAAATAAACTTGTATTTTAATTCCATTTTTTTTTTTTGGAGAGGTTTTCGCTATAGGGCGCGTGCGCTCGCCAGACAGAGACATAGAGACAGAAAGCGAGAAATCACCCCCAGGCGGGATGGTCACGCCGCAATCCCTTCTCCTCCATTCTCCTCTCAGGATCTTGGGCACACACGCACACGCGCCCGGCGTGAGATTTAAGCCACCGGGTCCGAGACGCGAACCGCGGTCGACTACGTGGGAGTCCAGCGACATAGCCATTACGCTAACTGCTGGTTCCCTTAATTCCATTTTTCATGAGCTTTTCAGAGTGCCATTGTCCATGTGTATACAGACTTGGTCTACTGGGATAACCCCAGGCATGTCCAGCATCACACTTTCATTTCCTCCAGGAAAAACTGCTTATATTCCCTAACTGGGGCCAGGAACCTGGGTCATTCGAGACCCCCCACCTCCTGCAGGCACTGTGCGGTCTCTGCTAATTGACCTCGCCGCCTCGCGTACCTGCCCCTGCACAGCCTCTGGTCCTGTGGGCTCTCCCTCGTGTGGGCCATACCAGAGTGTCTTAACTGACCCTCATGCTCTAAGCCTACGCCGCTCAAGCGGCCTCGACACCTCAGAGGTGATCACTCTGTGACAGGTATCTGAGCCTTGGCTGCCCTTCAGCAACCTTGGCGACTTCCCTGGCTCTGGCCTAGCTCTTGCCTCCCGTGAGCGAGCAAGTACGGAGTTCCTGCAGCCCCCGCCTGCACCTTCACGACACCCGGCCGTGCAGCGACCTCACACTGAACGTGGCAGTCTCCTGTCCGTAGCTGAGGTTTGGGCGCCTCAAGAACAGGTCCTGAAAGAAGGGTATGGGCGCCAGTGGATTGCAAGGAAGGAGAGAAGGGAAACGGAAAGGGAAACTGCCCAGCAGGGAGGCGGCAGTGAGCGGGTTTCCTCTGGGGGTCCTCGGAAGGATGAGACCAAACTTGTCTCAGAACTGTCCCCTAGAGTAGGCGAGCTGGGGCGTCATCCACGTCACAGACTGAGGCTCGCTCCTGGAGGTGGTGACTGTGTGGCAGCCCTGGCTTACTCTGGGCTAGGTTTTGCTGCCGGCTCGCCAGCTTAGGGAGAAACACTGACAGCTTAGGAGCTCAGTGGAAGAGGGACCGTGTGACCTCTTAGGGCTCTTCCACAACGACACCATTGTGGTGCCTTATGACATCAACAAAAAAGCAGATCCTGGAGAAGCATGTGGCTTGGAAGAATGAGAAATACGATACACACCTCAATATGGAAAGCCCATGACAAAGACAGGACAAAGACAACGGGGAGGGGGGCAAGATGACCACTTGTCTCTCTGTGCGGTGACCCCGAGGAGGACAAAATTCAAGAGGAGTTCCAGAAGTTGAGTCTAGACTGACACTAAGTCAGGCCTTACCTCCCGGTGACAGCAAAGCACAGTGTGCACATCCCGTGCAAGAGTCCTGTGGCGTGCTGCAGAAATGCGGCCATCTTGGGGTTCTCGTCCACTGGGCCTTGCACCGACAGGAAGCAGCCACACAGTTTGTCGATCAGACCGATGTTCACCATGTAGCTAGGTGTGGGGGAGAGACGTCCGTTATCACTTTGCACCGGCCAGCAACATCTTTACCTTCAAACGACCGGAGTCAGCAAACACAGGCCTGGACTCCTGAACGAGCAGACCCACACGTTGGAGTGAACCCTCTCTAACAGTTTCCCTAGACTTCGTCCTGAATAATCAGCTATTTCTGTAAGTAGTGTCTTTTATCTTTTCTCATTTGGTTATTCTTTTGTCATTCTTTAATAAAAATGAATGCATACAATTATCTGACCATTTTTCTAAGAAGTTTGTTTGTTTATCTATTTATTTACTTATTTGGTGAGGGGAGAGAGGAGACCAGCACCCTGAACAAGACCTCGTGCCCGCCCTCTAGCCAGCACCGCAGGTGCACGTGCCCAGGACGTACTGGCGGACCTGGGCACTGACCCTCCACCTCCACAGGCCCCCAGCTCTGCAGCGTGGCCTGCTATGATCGCGCCCACCCGGCTGGGTCACCGGCCTCTGATGGCTCTGACTGACAGTGGGAGAAACACGTTCTAACGACCACCATGCTCTTACAAAGCAGACCTTTTCCCTAAGTACGAAGGAGTGGCATTTTCTAGGATGCGAGGATTTAGAAGTTAGGATGATGCTAACCAGAGGCACGCTACAACGGAATCTTCTCATACGGACTGTAGGTTCTCTAGTTTTAAAAATGCCATCGCCATTAAGAGTATAATAAACAGTGAGACTCTAATTGCTTCTTGTTTTGAAAAGTGCCAGCCTTGAGGGCTGACAATAATATTTAAGAAGTCCCTTTCATCTTTTTAGTCCAATAAACATTTTTCTAGAGCTGTTTATTAAACTGGACCAACAATAGTAGCTCTTTGATTCATTTTTTATTCATTTCATTTATAAGCAGCAATTACTGATTAATAGTAATTGAAAATGATATTTTAGGACTATAAACGACTTCGTAGAAGAATCAACTTTAGAGAGTTTATACAGATCTAGTGCTACGAGATTTCCATGCATGAAAAATGAGGAATGCACATATAGTAGTTGCAGCTAAGCCTACAAAGAAGCTGACATTTGGGTCAGTAAGTGCACCACGATCCGAATGCTATTCATCTGTCAGTACACCTTTCTGTAAAAGGAAGGTAACTGATGAATGATTCTGTGGGGATATTATTCCGATTTTACTACTTAGAAGATATAGGACAATGCCCCCTTTCTATTTTTATGTTAGGAGATGTATCGGCCTGGGTTACTGAACATTTTCTACAGTTTAAAAATTGGGAAGTATGGGGCTGGCAGGTGGCATGGTGGTTAAAGGCATTGGATTCCCATGTGGCTGACTGCAGTTCAAGTTCCAGACCTGGTGGCTTGCTCTTTAACTTTCCCTTTCTCTCTGTCTCTGTCTGGTCAAATTGGAACAAACAAACAAAAAACCCAAACAATGATAACATAATGGAATTAAATAAATAAGTTCTTTTAAAAAAATTGGGAAGTATGCAATGATGAACACCAGGAAACTGATGAACTGATACACATACACACTAAAGCTCTCATTATAATTTAATAGAATCGGACTTGACGGAACTGGCTCTCGGCCCAGCCGAGGGGTACAGCTGGCGGCAGTACTGGACTGCAGTGCTGGAAGCCACAAGGCCGACTGCAGGTTTTGATTAAAATATACTGATATAGTTCTTAATAAGATGATATAAAATGTAACTACTCGGCCCAGCCCTGTGGTCTGGTGGTTAAGGGAGCCAGATTCTACATGGCCGACTGTGTAGTTTGATCCTGGCCCCTGGAGGCTAGGAAACCACGCTGAGCACCTGTGTGTGCCTGGCCCGAAATCCTGACAGGACAGAGAAACTGAGAAGGGACAAAAAGACACAAACCTAGTAGTTACGTCTGGATGGCAGGACTAGAGATCACTTTTGCATGTTTTAAGAAACCATCGAGGGCCGCTCACTGGCACCGTGGTAACATGCAGCTTAAGAGAAGCAGGATCCCACATGGTGGCGGCTGTATGAATCCCAGGCTTGGTATGCCTGACGTGCACTGGGCATGGGCAAGGGCCGCGATGTGATGGGCTGAGGGACTGGAGGAAGGGGACTGCGGCGTGAGCAGACCCTGTGGTGGGCGCTCTGTTTCATGCCCCTGTGTGTGTGCACATGTGCTCTGCCACAAAGAAACAGACCCATTGTGCGCTTCTGTCCTCGTCACTGAGCGCGTACTATGTTTGTAACTGGAAAACAGTCGCGTGCTACATAAAGACGCGTTAGTCAGCACCAGACTGCACAGGACGGCGGCAGCACAGGCTACATGGTGTTGTCCAGGTGTGCGGTACGCAGCGCCATGCTTGCAAGGTGACGGAATCACCCAACCAGACACTTCTTTTGTTCTTTTTCCTTCTTTTTTTTTTTTCTTTTATTTTTTTGGAGAGGTTTTTGCTATAGGGCACATGCGCTCACCAGAGAGACAAAGAGACAGAAAGTGAGAAATCACCCCCTGGAGGGATGGCCACACCACAATCCCTTCTCCTCTATTCTCCTCTCGGATCTTGGGCATGCATGTATATGTGCCTGGCATGAGTTCAAGGCACCGGGTCTGGGACTCGAGCTATGGTTGACTACATGGGAGTCCAGCGACAGTAGACATTGTGCCAACTGCTGGCCCCACACGGCTGCATTTTAAAGGGGGGAAAGAGACAGGATGCTCTCTGCTCCTGCAGGAGAGTCAGAAAACGTGGAACAGGGCAGCAGATGGAGTGCAGGTGATGCACCTGAAAAACACCGGCCAGGCAGAAGCCACAGGTCCCGAGGCTTCCTGTGACGAGTCTTTGACAACGCCCAGTTGCTAGCTTAAGTCACGGACTGAGTCACGGCTGCTATCGATAAAAACAGAGGACACAGGGCAGGAGACACTGTGGGTGGGAAGACACACCGTGCTGAGGCACCTGGAGCACATCCTGATAGGCAGATGTGTGGTCGGGAAATTGCTAAGCTAAAGTATAGGCTTGTCGCCTCTCCCTGAATACTTGTCTTCTGTTTGGGAACTTGTGATTCTAAAAGGCTGGTATCAGTGAGCTGGACTCAACCATCTGTCTCCTGGTTGTGTAGTTTGATTTCCCTGTTTTAAGAGACAGGTATTTCTTTCTTTATTTACCCTTAACATATTTTTAAAAGGAATTATTTTATTTAACTTAATTAGTATATTTTTAATTTGACCAGAGAGGGAAATTGACCAGAGAAAGACAAACAGAAGGAAAGTGAGAAAGCAAGCCACCAGGTCTGGGACTCGAACCATGATCAGCCATGTAGGAGTCCAGCATCCTTATCCATGCCACCTGCCAGCCCCCTGTTTTATTTATTATTAATAATAATTATTATTTAAATTTTCTATAGGGCACATGCACTCATGCACACACCCGACACACACACACACACACACACACACACACACACACAGAGAGAGAGAATGAAAAAGCAAGAGGGAGAATGAGAAAGCAAGCTACCAGGTCTGGGACTTGAACTGTGGTTGGCCATGTGGGAGTCCAGCACCTTACCACCATGTCACCTGCTGGCCCAGAGAGAGATTTATAATTGGAACAGAATGAAAATAATTATGGAAACTCAGGGTGGGTCTATTTCTTGAGCAAATTTCAAATTGGTATCCTTTCCAATTGTACTTTGCTTCTATTCCACGAACATTGTCGCTTTCTTGGAACTGTGCTAAACACAGTAACTCAACAGAAACAATTCCGATGTTTAATAGTCAGATAGTAGAAACTGGATATGCTAGGAAAGGTCTCGTATGTGTTTTTGTAGCCTAGGACCTCGTGTGCTGTCTGGCATAAAATGAGTACGGGAGACCACACTCTGAATCGAAAAATACTTTCAAGAATCTCTTCCATCTAGAACTTGGCTGAACCATGTAAAGTGCTGAGAACAGACACTATCTCATCTCTCTGTGCCTCCTCACCTCCCTCGTGCCAGGCGAGGAGAGGGAAGGGGTGAATGTCAGGTTTGCTCCAGCCCCTCCAGGGGCGCAGCCAGAGGGCAGAGCAGCGGACTGTTGGAACCCTTTCCACTCAGCCTGGCAACCGGGGAAACCCCACGCTGCAGCAGAGTAGGGTGCAGTCAGATCTCTCCTCAGCGGGAAGGTAAGAAAACAAGTGTGGAAATGCTTAAGCACGCTGTGTACGCTACTCCGGGTAGACGGGGCCAGGGTTGTGCTCCTACGCCAGCGTCCTTACATGCGTTCTCTGTAAGGAAATGGCATTCTCCGAAAGTGCTTTGCGTCAGAGGGAAACGGGCACGGGTGTGTTCTGACAACGGTGGCTGTCAACTGTCCTTAAGAGGCAGAGCTATCTGGTTTGGAAGATTACTCCTGCTACGTTTCCTCACTGCCGCTTCCTTGCAGAAAAATTGTGGCAAGTATAATAATGCGCGTGAAGGTGTATGAACTCCCCCTGGGAAGAGCCCGTGGGGCTGCAGAGAAGCAGTGGGCTGGCCTCCGCCTTGGCACAGCTGCGGCAGACGGCCATGCTGTCTGGACACCAAGGACACGGGGAGCTGCACTGCGGGGCAGCCTGAGGGAGGCTGCGGTGCAGAACGCAACGGACTCATCAGCTTGGGGGGCTGAGCTCTGCAATGACCAAACCGACTTGGGGAAATTGAACGGGATCACGCAACAGAGAGAGGCCAGCGAGGGTGAAAGTCAAGCGTGTAAGATAAATGGCTGTGTGCAATAAATATGCTTGGGGAAAGAGGGCAGGTGGACAGAAGGGACAGTGAATGAAGTAACCAAGGGTAGGGAAGATACAGAACAAAATGACTGTCCCCAAGAAAGCACTACAGAAACCAGAGGAAATTTATGAACTGTGAAAGAGGCAAACACAGCGCAGGGCAGTCTCCTTTTCCTATTAACCTACCAGGGGCTTGGGCGAGCAAGAAATTGCCTGGATTTGGGGAGCCAGAGACGTGTGCAGGCCAGAGAACCACCAACAGGTGGAGTAGGTAATTAACACCGGATGGGGCCCTGCTGGGAAATTCAATGTCCTACCTGATTCAAGAGTCATGAGGGAAAGGAGTTCAGATGCCAAAGCAGGAGTAAATTTCCCTGGAGAAAAGGTGACCTCTGAAGGAAGCAGGGGTGACCCTGGACAGGTGTCAGAAGCGGCCCCATGTGTGTAGTGGAACACACACGGATGCTGGACCTCGGCGAGACTGGCGTTCCAGGCTTAACTCCTCCACCTGCTCTTACTCGTTCCGTACCCCGGGCAGAGCACTTAGCCCCTCTGCAATTTCCTCACCTACAGGGCTAAGTGAGAAAGTGCGTGTGCAGGGCCGCAGAGCCTTACATGTGACGGGGCTTCATAAAGAGCCGCTGTTACTGTTTGAGTCGAGCTGGATCCACAGCCAGAGGTGAACTGAGATGGGGAGCGCTCAGGAAAGGGTAGAAAGCGGTCAAGAAAGCTGTAGACACGCCGACACTAGGTGTTCCAATGTCACATAGCGAGATAGGAGGATTTTACTTCTCTCTACCAAATGCGTTCTTTAAAAAATCTACTGCATTCTTCTGTGTTCTCCAGATTGTCTTTGTCATTGAACCCACATTGCTTTTATAATGAGAAAAGAACGTATGTATTAAAGGTGGGGTATTTGGAGAGACAGATGCACCAGCTGCTACTGCGAGAGCCTGAAAGAAAAGCGACGGCCGTGGGTGAGAAACTGGGCAGGCATCTACAAGGTTCCTGTACGCTTCTGCGCCAGGAGTTTCTGGGCAGCATTGTGAAAATCCCCCTACTGCATGGGACCTGAAATTTAAGTTATTTCTATATAATGTTTTGTCACAAAGGATGAAGTTTCAAGAAGTCTAGCAGTTTTACCTGATAAGGTCCTGAACTCGACTGTTAAAAGCATCACCTTGTGAGGGCTTGTTTTTCATTTCCTGTGTTGATATTTTTGGTGTAGCTGGCCGGCTGTTCCCATCTGGTCGATTGGCAATCAGGCAGCCCAAAACCACAGAACTGACTTTGAGAAGTCCAGTCGTCAAGCCTTCAAAAACTTGTTTATTTGTATTTCTTCCCAAAATAGCATTATTTTCATCTGGAACATAAACCTAGATGGAAAAAATACAGTAAATGTGTTTCAATAAAAGCACCAAAAATGGACAAAGACGATGTAGAACATTTCTGGGATCATTAATAATTCCAAAATTCCACAGGTGACAACCTGAAATGTTTGAGTGTTGACTTTGAAGTCAGACTGTCAGTCCAGATCTCAGCTTTGTCTTATGACCTGGGTGCGTGGTGCAGGTTAGACTTTTAGCCCTCAGTTTCCTCACCTATAACAGGGATAGTGACGGTACCTGTGCAGAGTACCTGTGAAGGGGAGGCGAGTGACAGAAAAATGCTTTCATGAGCACGGGCACATTGTAAGTACTCAATAAATGTTTAATTGAATAAGTTATATAAAAAGGTTTTTTTTATAAACTCAGGGGCCAGCCAGTGGCATGGTAGTTAACATGGCTGGATCCCATATAGCCAACTTTGGGGTTTGAGTCCTTGACCTGCAGCTTGAAATACATTGTTTGTGTGTGTGTGTGTGTGTGTGCCCCAAATCCCAAGAACAGAATGGAGACAGGGCCGCAGTGTGGCTATCCTGCACCGGTGGGGTGATTTCGTACTTTCTCTCTCTCTCTCTGTCTCTCTCTCTTTCTGTCTTTCTCTGGCAAATGCCACACACACACACACACACACACAAATTTAGGGGAAAAAATCCAATTGATAAACTAAATACCATTGTTTCTTGCCAGAGTGAATTTTTAAATACCTCATCTAGCAAATGGCACAGTGGTTATCTATCATTGGACTCCCACATGGCCGACTACGGTTTGAGTCCTAGACCAGGTAGCATGAAACTCACACCAGGTACATGTGTGTGTGTGCCCAAGACCCCAAGAGGAGAATGAAGGAGATGGGACTGCAGCGTGGCCATCCCCTCTGGGCAGGGGTGTGGGGGTGACTTCTCATTTCGCTTCTCATAGTCTCTGTCTCTCTCACTCTCTCTCCTGTCTCTGGCAAGCACAAGGACCCTAAGGCAAAAAAACTTTAAAAAATTATATAAATCCTGCTATTAGGGTGAAATCCGCATTTCTTATTACAAAGTCAGTTCACAGTCGTTTCCCTAGTACACAGGGTGGCGTTCAGCCCTCTGTGTAGAGAAGTAGTGTGGGCTTTAAGAGGTGGGGTCTGGATTCTAGCCCCGCAGGAGTATGATCGAGGAAAGTTCCTTGCTGTCTGTGACTCCCCACCTCCCAAGACTACCATGTAGTGTTCAGATAAGAGGATGAACAGGAAAAGGCCTGGTAACTACTGCGCTCCAGGCACAGTCCTCAGGGGTAAGCAGCCTCTGCCTCATCCTTACCGCCTCCAACCAAGACAGAGGGATAACAGCCCTGGGATCCAAGAGGAGGGTCGTTATAAAAAGCAGCAGCTCAGCCAGAGCGAGCCGGAGAGCCCGAGCCGGCCTGAGCGCCTTCACTACGCACAACCGTCTGAGACCGCGATCTCCGATTTTCCAGCCCAACCAACCTTCCCGTACAGGATTTTAAAGACTCTTCTAATTTTCTCACTTAGTACAGACCCTTTCACTGCTGAAAACAGAACATTCTTCTACTTACAACCTTCAGTGAGACCAACAGGCTTTCTAGATTCGATGAGGGAAATGTGCACAGAAGGCGCCACACTGCGGAGGGTACTCCGTCCCCGGCGGGGCACTGCACTGCTGTGTCTCCCTCACTGGAGATCACTGTTACCTGCCCGCGGTAAATGAACCCCGGCACCTGCTCCCATGGGACGCTGCAGTAGGTGTGCCCTGACGCCTGCTTACAGACCAGCACTTGAGTATGAACTCGCTTCCAGCACAGCTGCCTGGCCGAGGGTGCGCTTCAAGTCCAGGGGTTGTCCTTCAGGAAGGGAGTGCAGGCCACATCCTCCCACTCCTGGCCCTAGTCTGTCGCACACCTGGCTTACCTGAGTCTGCACCACATTCCATCCTGAGACGGGGTCAGTGGAGGAGAGGGAAGGCTCCCTTCCCAGAATGCAGTAGTGCGTGTAACTACCACCTGCTGGTGTGTTCAGGCCTGACATAAGAAAGGAGTACACAGATGCTGGCCCTCCCAAACTGTCGCTGGAGGCAGAAATCTAAAACTACACTTTACCTGCAAGTGGATGAAAGGTGTTTCCCTTAGTAAATTTCCAGTACATATTCTTTGCTTTCTTTTGTATTTTATTTTTTTGGAGAGGTTTTGGCTATAGGGCGCATGCACTTGCCAGAGAAACAGAGAGACAGAAAGCGAGAAATAACCCCCCAGGGGGGATGGCCACACCGCAATCCCATCCCTTCTCCTCCATTCTCCTCTCGGGATCTTGGGCACACACGTACACGTGCCCGGTGTGAGTTTAAGCCACTGGGCTTGGGATTTGAAACATGGTCGACTACATGGGAGTCCAGCAACATAGCCATTACACCAACTACTGGTCCCCTTTCTTGTTTATTTTTTAATGCGAGAGAGAGAGAAAGGGAGAAGGAGAAAGCACTCCCCAGTGGGATGTGGTCATGCTACAAACCCTTCTCCGTTTTTCAATTCTGTCAGGATTCTAGTTATGCATGCACATGTGCCTAGTGAGTTTTTCAAGCCAAAGAAGCCATGATTCAAACTGCAGTCAACCACACAGGATCCAGCTCTCTCTCTCGCTTTTTTTTTTTTTTTTAAAAGAGATTTTTGCTATAGGGTATGTGTGCTTGCCAGAGAGGCAGAGAGAGACAGTAAGACATAAAGCAAGAGATCAACCCCCAGGGGGATGGCCACACGCGGAGATTCCTTCTCCTCCATTCTGTTTGCAGGATTTGGGGCACACATGCACATGAGCCTGGCATGAGTTTTAAGACACCCATTGCCAAAGTGGTTCCAAACACTTCCGACATTCTTGTCTGCAACACACATCATTCGTTCTGTAACGAGTGAGAAGATGAACCTGGTGACCAGTAGTCGTTCTACAGAACTCATTTCCAGTATTCTGAAGGTTACATATTTTCAGTTGGGCAGTGTATTCTCAATGGTCAGATTATGAATTAAAGTCACTGAGAACCAACAGCAACAGGTTTGGCTCAGAAAACTCCCTTCACTACCTCCCTACCAGCCCCACCAGGCCGAGTTACAAGATCATCCCTCTTCCCAACCCCGTCTCCCTTTTCTGTTTCCTCGGCTTCCTTTTCTTCCACTGCAGTCGTCACCTCCTAACAATCACCTACTTCCTCCCCTACCAGAACACAAGCTCTGTGTGGGCAGGTCTCCGTGCGCCGCTGAATCTGCCTACAACCTAGCTCGCGAGAGCTGCTCCAGCTGCGCCACAGCCATCTGTTAAACTCGTCTAGACTTGGGCTTTCACTGAGAAAATTCACCAGACCATGACAGTGGCATTCAGAAGGCCCAAGCTAGAGACAGAGCCAGCACTTAAAGCACACACACACGTGTATACACCCAGCCCTTCCTCATCGGGGAAATCTGTGATGTGAATGACAGGCAGGCAGGACTGTTATGGTTGGCCCCTCCTCCCCAAAGTACCCTAGGCTCCTTCCTTGAGCCCTCGAACACCTCGTCACAGCAGGGTGACGCTGCTTTAACCCAGGTCTCACCTCCCCTGCTTGGTGGGGGGCTGGCCAATGGTGTCCTGCAAAGGTCAGGTGGTGACTAAGCTCCAGTCCACTGTGCAGGGGGAGTGCAGCCACAGCACGGGGGCTGTTCCCAGGCTGGGGGACCCTGCTTTGCTCACCCCATGCTCCTCGAGCAGCTCTGCACTGTGCGGTGTTCCTTGTGAGGCCTAACGTAGCACGTCATTGCTCAAAGAAAGTGCTCAAATGAAATAAACTGAATAAATCCTGTTCACTTAAGATACGAGGAAAGAAAATCACTGGCCCTGCCCTCGATGTTCTTCACATCAGGACGCAGAGTCGGGGGCAGCGCTGCGGCTGGAGCGGCGGTCTCTGGCTCCTGGCTTCTCTTCACTGTACCCTGCTGCCTTTCGGACAGAAGCTTTTCTCCTAAATCTAGGGCCGCAGAGGAGATGATGAAGTGCACTCTTTACCTAGATTTGCCTATCTGAGATGATGAAGTGCACTCTTTACCTAGATTCACCCATTTATTTATTTCAAATGTGCGTTTACAAAAGCACATGTGGAAAATAAATCTATTGTAAAACGCAGCTACCTGAGGTGAATGTCAGTAAGCACACTGCCTGGGTCCGAGCTGGAACCCCGATTCCCGTAATCCGGAGCAGGGCGCTCTCTTCCTTTACACCCTACGGTTCCCCCAGGGCCCAGTTCACTCTGGACCCTCAGCAACCCCTGATCTGCTCCACGTCATTACGAATGACTGCATTTCCTAGAATTTCGAATCACTTGAATCGCACAGAAGGTGAGATGCTGAATCTGGCTTTTTCCACTCTGACCTTCTCCGTGACTCCTGAACAATGCATCCACGCTGCTGAGTGTGCCCACGGCCCATTTCCCCTCACTGCTAGGCGTTATTCCAGGGGACGACTGTGCCACAACTGGGTTATCAATATGCCTGCTATTCAGGGAATTTACATACTGACGAGACCACCATTCCCCCCACCACCCACCCACCTGCACTGGGTAAGCACACACCTCAGGAGCCAGATCCCACCGGCTGGCTGCAGTATGGACCCTGGGCCTAGTGGCTTGGAAAACACGAGGGAATGTGTGCATGTGCCCAGGTCCTGAGAAGATGCAGAGTGGGGGACAGAAGATGAGGGTGTGACCATGGTCTCTTAGGGGGTCCCCCATTTTCTGGAGAGCTCGTGTGCCCTCTGTCAATACTACTACTACTACTATACTATATGACTATACTACTACTACTATACTATACGACTATACTACTACTATATACGACTATACTACTACTACTACTACACTATACGACTATACTACTACTATACTATACAACTATACTACTACTATACTATACGAGTATACTACTACTACTACTACACTATACGACTATACTACTACTATACTATACGACTATACTACTAC